TGTCAAGCCTCTGCTTAAAGACCTCCAAAGAAGGAGACTCCACCACACTCCTTGGCAGCAAATTCCACTGTCGAACAGCTCTTACTGTCAGGAAGTTCTTCCTAATGTTTAGGTGGAATCTTCTTTCTTGTAGGTTGGATCCATTGCTCCGTGTCCGCTTCTCTGGAGCAGCAGAAAACAACCTTTCTCCCTCCTCTATGTGACATCCTTTTATATATTTGAACATGGCTATCATATCACCCCTTAACCTCCTCTTCTCCAGGCTAAACATGCCCAGCTCCCTTAGCCGTTCCTCATAAGGCATCATTTCCAGGCCTTTGACCATTTTGGTTGCCCTCCTCTGGACACGTTCCAGTTTGTCAGTGTCCTTCTTGAACTGTGGTGCCCAGAACTGGACACAGTACTCCAGGTGAGGTCTGACCAGAGCAGAATACAGTGGCACCATTACTTCCCTTGATCTAGATGCTATACTCCTATTGATGAGGCCCAGAATGGCATTGGCTTTGTTAGCTGCCGCGTCACACTGTTGGCTCATGTCAAGTTTGTGGTCAACCAAGACTCCTAGATCCTTTTCACATGTACTGCTCTCAAGCCAGGTGTCACCCATCTTGTATTTGTGCCTCTCATTTTTTTTGCCCAAGTGCAATACTTTACATTTCTCCCTGTTAAAATTCATCTTGTTTGTTTTGGCCCAGTTCTCTAATCTGTCAAGGTCGTTTTGAAGTGTGATCCTGTCCTCTGGGGTGTTAGCCACCCCTCCCAGTTTGGTGTCATCTGCAAATTTGATCAAGATGCCCTTGAGTCCATCATCCAAGTCGTTGATAAAGATGTTGAATAAGACCGGGCCCAAGACAGAACCCTGTGGCACCCCACTAGTCACTCTTCTCCAGGATGAAGAGGAACCATTGATGAGCACCCTTTGGGTTCGGTCAGTCAACCAGTTACAAATCCACTGAGTGGTAGCATAGTCAAGACCGCATTTTACCAGCTTCTTTACAAGAATATCATGGGGCACCTTGTCAAATGCCTTGCTGAAATCAAGGTAGGCTACATCCACTGTGTTCCCTTCATCTACCAGGCTTGTAATTCTGTCAAAAATGAGATCAGGTTAGTCTGACATGACTTATTTTTCAGAAATCCATGCTGACTATTGGTGATCACAGCATTCCTTTCTAGGTGCTCACAGACTGTTTGCTTAATGATCTGCTCCAGAATCTTCCCTGGTATTGATGTCAGACTGACTGGGCGGTAATTATTTGGGTCCTCTCTTTTCCCCTTTTTGAAAATAGGGACAACATTTGCCCTCCTCCAGTCTGCCAGGACTTCGCCTGTTCTCCAGGAATTCTCAAAGATGACTGCCAGTGGTTCTGAGATCACATCTGCCAGTTCTTTTAATACTCTTGGATGTAGTTCATCTGGCCCTGGAGACTTGAATACATCTTTGTAATACCCTTTCCCCAAACTATATAATAAGAAGGCAAATTCCACATATATTAAATAAACTCCTCATTTCATTTTATACCCTCTCTAATGAGAGAAAAGATGACTTGATTTGTTTCATGGATATTTCCAATATCCACAATCACAAGACATGATCAAACTTTGGGTTGCCATATTTCAAAAAGTGAAAATCTGGACACCAAAGTCATTGAGCTCTTTTTTTTTGCCATTTTAAGAAAAATCACCAATATCTACAATTCTGACACAGCTATGTCTGGGAAATTCCGGATGTTTGGCAACCCTAAACAAACTAGAATAATGCATTGTCTATTGGGAGAAAAAAAGGCAAAACTAAATCATGTTTAGTTGGACATCCTCCATACCCTGGCGTGCTCTGGTCCACAGGGTCACAAAGAGTCGGACACAACTAAACGACTAAACAACAAAAAAATCATGTTCATGCTTTTGTTTTCTGTTTCTCCAAAATAAAAATTCTTTAAATTTTTGTTGCAACATTTTAATCAATTTTTTAAAATTAATAATTGACTTAAGGAGCAAGTCTCTAAGGCCCCCCTAGGTAGTGACAGTCCCATTCTTTTATTTGAAGCTTGCAAAAACACACACAACCTGGAATTTCCAATTCATCACTTTGGAATGCATGATTTACTATAATCTATTTATAGCTCAGCCTAATTAAATTTAATGGGATGTGCAGCCCAATTCAGTGCATGTTCACATGGTAATTAAGTTTCACTGAATTCAAAGATGTGGGCCCCACAATTCCATGCATGGAACTCCACTGCCGTCATGAAAATTGGCTCTGCAGAGTGTTAGAATTCCTGCTCCATGATAGAAGTCATGGGATTTTTGTCTGTCACATGGTGGTATATGTTTTGACTCCACAGAGTGGGAGGTGATGGAAACAGGATGTTTGTGTTACTGTGTTCCGTGAAGTGGAACTATTGTCCTTTGTTCTTTTTCTCTCTGCTGTCTGATGCTAGAGAGAGAGGGAGCCATGTTGCAGTGCTCAGTGTGTGTTTATATGTAAATAAAGTAGATTAGCCAAAATGCTGAGTTGCTGAGGTCTATTATGCAAGTTGTGCAAACTCTGCGGATCCCTAAGTGTGCCGGTGTCGGTTGGCATCAGTCGCTGTGATGTTCGGGCAGAAGAAAGCTTTTGAAGCTTGTGAACGAATGACCAGGAGGGAGAGAACGTGCCTGTTGAGCATGTGTCTCTGCCAGGGTCCTACTCGAGTGTAGGCTGAGCTCCTGACACAGAGTTGGGGGACCCTCTGGGACAGTGTGGGAATTGCAGGGCTCGGGAGGGTTGGTGAGGATTGCCTCCTTCCCCATTTCTGCCAGCAGGAACCTGCACCATATTGGAGTCAAGTGCTTTAAAAGGATCTCATCCGAGTTCTGAGGAAGCATCCTCCATACCCTGAGAGCATCATTGCTCATTTGCAATGTTTAAAACGAAGCTCGGATCTTTGTTCCCAAAGTGTCATCGCATTAGAGAAAAGATCAAGAAAGCTAGAAGCCACAGGATGGGAATAATGTCTAATTACTTGCAATTAATCTACTCTGTGTTAGACTGTCAAGAGATAAAGAATACCCATAGGCTAGGCCATAGATAAAGGCCACTGCTTTTTTTTGTTTGCGGTGCCTGTAGAAATGCAAGTAATGTGATGCATTTCAGTGATTAAAATAGTTGGTTGGGTACAGAGGGGAACTCCTCTTTAGGCACCATTCCCATAGTATGATAGCGGCTATAATAAGCTCAAAAGTGCCTGACCTTTAATGGGTTCAATGAAGTTAAAGGGAACTCTCTTGCCAAGTGGTGACTCAAAAGGTCAGGCCCCCAATTATACAATTCAATACAGTGAAATAGAGATGAACCTCACATAGAGTGCACACATTGCGCATGGGGAATCCCGAGTATAAAGCCCTGTATGACGGCCTAGCAGAGGTCAGAAAGTGTTTCAGCATGGCACTTTCTGTCCACTCGGTTGCTCACATTGGAAGACTTGTCTTGCCTCTTCAGGTGTTTTGCATTCCAGCTGCCATCATTCCTAACCATGGACCGCGCTGACTGGGGCTGATGAGATTTGGCTTCTGAAGGACCACAAGTTACCAAGCCATGCCTTTGTCTGTCCAGAATGTTTCGACTTTAATCTGAGAGTGCTAACAGTGCATTGTCATGAATCTAAGCCTGGGAACAAGCCATCACAGGGGGTGCACAGCAGGAAGTGGCAGAAGCAGTTTTGTGCCTGAAGCAGAAAATCGAGATGGCAACCCCCTTTCTGCTGAGATGATAAAATGTAACAATTAATTGCCGCTTTTTAGGATTATGCAGAGGACTGGCAATTGTGCATTGTGGAGTTCCATCCACAGGTGAGAGAAAATGTTTGTTTGTTTGTTTGTTTGTTTGTTTATGTGAGGGTAGCAGTCGGCAGGACCAGGGGGTCATCTATGCCTGCTTCCAGAATGGAAAGTGAGTCCTTTCCTTGAATGAGCTGCAGAGAAACAACAATGAAAGGATGTGTTGCAACCTTGTTTTTTAGGAGAGCCAGTATGTTGCACTGCTTTGTACACTGCTGTCAGGTGGCAGAGGAACCAACCCCCATGGCAGGTTGCCAGGAACAGGATGAGACAAGGAAAAGTCCTTACCATCTGCTTTTTATTCAATATTTACAGAGAGAGGCTTGGAATAATGGCGTTGTCCCGAGTGACTCTCCATCCCCTTTCCCCCCCACTTCTTCATTTGCCACCTTCTCCCCTATGGGTGGCACTGAGGGCCCTTTGCTTTTGAGCCCTTTGCTCTACTACTTTCAAGGCTCGCCATGTTCTGGGAGGGGGGAGTCTAGAATGCTTTCTAAAGACACAGTGTCCATCAGCTGTTGTACTCCTGGTGCTTCCTCTTCCTCCTCTCCCATTATTTCCCAGCTGTGGTGTAGTGGTTAAGAGCGGTGGACTCGTAATCTGGTGAACCGGGTTCGCTTCCCCGCTCCTACACATACAGCTGCTGGGTGACCTTGGGCTAGTCACACTTCTCTGAAGTTTCTCAGCCTCACTCACCTCACAGAGTGTTTGTTGTGGGGGAGGAAGGGAAAGGAGAATGTTAGCTGCTTTGAAACTCCTTCAGGTAGTGATAAAGCGGGATATCAAATCCAAACTCCTCCTCCTCCTCCTCCTCCTCCTCCTCCTCCTCCTCTTCTTCTTCTTCTTCTTCTTCTTCTTCTTCTTCTTTTCCTCCTCCTCCTCCTCCTCCTTCTTCTTCTCTGGAAGGGTCAGGATTCCTCTGCCCAGTCCCTGACTACTGCATTTGTTTAACTTAGAAGCATGGAAAGCTGCTTTCAAATCCCCCACTTCCATGAAACTCACTTCGTGATCATTGAATAGTCTCTCTCTCTCTCTCTCTCTCTCTCTCTCTCTCTCTCTCTCTCTCTCCTAGCCTATTTCATACAGTTGTTTTGAGGGTAAGTCAAAGCACGTAAGAACCATGCATGTTCCCTGTCAGAGAATGACACATGTAAGCAGAAATGGGACAAGAAATCTTCCATGTCTGAGAAGGATAACTCAGTTGGTTAGAGCATGATGCTCATAATGTCAAGGTTGCAGCTTCAATCCCCTTACTGGACAGCTGCATATTCCTGCACTGCAGGGGGTTGGACTAGATGATCCTCAGGGTCCCTTCCAACTCTACAATTCTATGATTCTATGAACACGATTGGCATTTGCTGCTGTTGCTGCTTTCAACCCACAAATAATACTTAACAGCTCAGGGTGGTCCCATGTGCAGCACGAGGGCCACATGAGGCCCTTAACACCTTTTTGGGTGGCCCCTAACAATGTTTGACACCCCCCTGGCAACCCTCACACTGCTTTTCCAAAGGTGCTGGGCTTAGGGAAGAAGGCAAGAGGGTTCTGACAGATTCCTAGAAAAATTGGTGTGAACTGTAATAGGTTATGTCCCCTCCATCACCATTTTATTTGCATTGAAATGAATGGAGTGGAATAATGCAATGTCAATTTACGTAACTTTTGTACTTAATTGCATAAACTAGATAAGTCATATTATTTCACCACGGTGGGCAGTGAGGCAGATAATGTAGATTTTGGTGGAAAATGAAATGCACTGGGATAGAAATGGTGCTGCGTGCAACTAATACAGGCGGGGAATGGAAAACAATGCCTTCCTACGTCCCTCGCTGCCTGTAGCTCCTTAGGCGAAGGCTGTGATAGAAATAAATAAATAGTAGTTATCATCACTCCTTGATACTCAGAGATGAAAGCATGTCCCAGGAGGGGATGGCTTCACAGGGATTTGCAGGGAAGAATACAAATGGAACAAACAAACTGGGCTTTTGACAGAGGGGAAAGGAGGAAGCCAAGCATGCTCATCATTTAGAATCAGAAAATCCCATCCAGATATCAACAGCACCTTCAGTTCTCTATTCCCCATCAATGAGCAACATGAGAATATGTGAATGTACCAACTGAATGCAAAGATCTGCTTTATTTATTTTAACTTTTGAAAGAGAGGGTTGTTTTGTGTGGGGTTTTTTTTTTTTTTGGTTGAGTGTGATCTTGAGGCAAAAAAATAATCCGAAGGAAAGGAAAGTCATCAAAAGCCTGCTGTTCGTGCCGCACTTGCTCAGTGAACACAGAATGAAGCTTAGATGTATTATCTTCTAAAAAGTAAAGTATCTAGTCATAGGAATCTCTCTCACTGCTTTTACGGCCCTCGGGGGAAGGGAATATTTATTACTGCTACTCAGCACATAGAGAACTTCGCGATTTCCAATTAAAGGTTTCCCCATTTCTTTTCTCCAGTTTTGCAGCCACTTCACAGGGCATGTGAAATGAAGAGACATTTTCATTTTTGACAGCACCTGTACAAATGTCAGTGCCAACACAGTCTTACAAATCCAATATTATCCATCAACACACACCCACCGAGAGAGAGAGAGCGAGAGAGAGGGAGAGAATATTTTAATGTTACAGACTTTAATTGTTTTAATAGAGATGATTTAGCCTGTGAAATTAACAGGTGAAAGTAGGGGCTAGCTGCTGATGGCCCTGAGGTCAAACCCATCCTTCCTAGTAGTGTCACTGAGATCTCCATAAATTCCTTTACCAACTAATGAAGCGAAAGAGAAGTATGAATACTTCACATTAGTGGGTGCCTGGACAAATTTGGGAAGTCTTGCTAGAGTCTGCTAAGTTTTTGCAAATTCTGTAACATATAGGTCATCATTTTTCAAAAAAATTTTACTGAACAAGAGTATAAATACTCATTTTTGTTAAACCAACCTGCTGTTTGACAGTGAAATACAGCAGCTTTTGTTAAAAAAAAAAGCAAAAATTGAGGGAAGCAATCAAAATTGGAGATGGGGGAGAGTTTAAAGGAGGGGTTACTTTAGCTCACCACAGTTTTCAATGTTGCATTAACTGCTCCTTAAGAATATTCCTGAGAATGGTTGAAACAATCTTGATTGGTGTCTATTTTTATAGGTTCAGTCCTGAGTGTTTGCACCCCTTTTAAAAAAGGCCATTGTTTGATCACCTCATAATAATAACAACATGTTGTGCATAATTTTACATATAATTAGTCAGGGGTTGCTGTTGCTGGTTTTCTTTAAAGAAAAAAGAAAACTGTGTTTAAAATCCTAAATGACACAGGCCACAAATACATGAAAGACTACCTCCTTCCCTACAGACCCTCTTGGGTGCCAAAATTAGCAAAGAGGGTTATCTTGGTTGTTCAAACGCCCTGAAAAGCTTGGAGGGTGTGGCCCAAGAGAGGGCATTCTCTATTCCAGCAGCTCCCCATGGAAGGGCATGTGGCATCTTCATTAACCAACTTTCAGTGAATGCTGAAGATGCATTTATCTTGGCTTTTGACACCCACCTTATTCTTGTGATTACAGTTGTATCTCTGGTTAAGAACTTAATTCATTCCAGAGGTCTGTTCTTAACCTGAAACTGTTCTTAACTTGAGGTACCACTTTAGCTAATGGGGCCTCCCGCTGCCGCTGCACCGCTGCTGCGTGATTTCTGTCCTCATCCTGAAGCAAAGTTCTTTACCTGAGGTACTATTTATGGGTTAGCGGAGTCTGTAACCTGAAGCATTTGTAACCTGAAGCGTCTGTAACCCAAGGAACCACTGTATAAGTTGCTTTAAAATGTTTTCAGTATCATGTTCTAATTGTAACCTGCCCTGAGATCTTAGGTAACAGGTGGGTAAATAATAATAACAACAACAACAACAACAATAATAATAATAATAATAATAATAATAATGCAAGGAGTGTCCAATGAAGGCAAAGCTTGACTTAGTCAGAACTGCCAAATTCCATATATAAATCCATTTACGATGAATTGCTCCTTCAGCCTTACTCTATAACTGACCTCAACATAAGCCTCCGTTCCTTTCTCTCTCTCTTTCCTAACTTGACAATTTTCACTGCTTGCTCTTGAACCTACCTTTTATCACTCTGGACTCCCTCCTTCCATTAGCAACCATATTCTGGGGGAACTTACAACCTTTCTTGGAGTGTTAGAATGGAATTGTGTTTCTATAGACATCTTTAAAAGCCTTTTAGATTCCCTAGAGCCACCACAGAGGTAAAATATTTAGAGGAAGGATAATGTTTATGGCATCTGAGTATATGAAGCAATTAACAGCTTTTGCGGGTGATTAAACACTGAAGCTGAAATGGGTACATTTGGTAACTCTCCTAGCTATTTGTTGTCAGCATAAATCAGGGCCATAAATAATCAGTCCACCTTGTGCCTATCTGAGCCACTGGCTAAAAATGATGAGAAGTGAGTTATGAAATGATAAAGTTTTAACCTCAGGTTGAGGGATGTTTGGATTTGTTAGATTAGCTAATTCTGTGACTTCCCATGGTGGCTGCATTGCGAGTGAAAGAACATAGCTAACTTGAGTATAATTTTCTTGTTATTAAATTTGCACAAAATTAATATGAACATAACTGACAATTTTCCCATGCTTTCCACCCCCCAGCTGCATTTTTCTTTAAGCATATCACTCTTTTCTTACAAAGCTCAAAGTGGTTTAGATGAGTCTTCCTAAGCAAATTCTCATCTAGACAGAGATCAAGATGAAGCCTTCTTACACTCATTTAACAATATAATGAAAATATGTATCTATGTTCTAATTTATGTGGGTCAGAACGCGAACTGGTTGAACTATGACCTGGGAGACCAGGGTTGAAATCCCCACTCGTCTGTGAAGCTCACTGTGTGTCCTTGGGCCTGCCACAGTCTCTTAGTCGAACCAACCTCAAAATGTTGTGGTGAGAATAAAACAATAGAGGAAAACTACATAAGCCACCTTGAGCTCCTTGGATGAATGGTGAGATATAAAAGGGATCATCATCATCATCCAGGGCACAGTACATCAAACTTGAAAGAAGTTACTGATGTTCAGCACTAATGTTCAGCACTAATGTGTTTCTGAGCACAATTTAAAGTGTTGGTGATGACCTTTAAAGCCCTAAATGCCTCAGCCCAGTATACCTGAAGGAGCGTCTTCACCCACATCCCTTACCCACAACAACTTGAGGGCCACCTCTGAGGGTTTTCTAGCAGTTCCTTCACTGTGAGAAGCAAAGTTACAGGGAGCCAGGCAGAGGGCCTTCTCAGAAATGGTGCCCTCCTGTGCAGGACCGGATTTAGGTTTGATGAGGCCCTAAGCTACTGAAGGTAATGGGGCCCTTTATATGTCCAGCTGTCCTTTGTCCACAACAAATTGTTGCTGTTTTCGGTGTTGAATATATGCTATCTGGTAATTTATGGACCTAATAGATATCTAAAGCAATTTGCACCTAACAAAATATGTATTTTATTAAAGTAATTGTTGAACTGAAATACAATTAAGAAGAAGTATATTTTTTGGGGGGGCAAGAGAGTGGGGCCCTAAGCTATAGCTTGTTTAGCTTATATGTAAATCCAGCACTGCTCCTGTGGAACACCCTCCCTTCAGATCTCAAGGAGATACAGAACTACACAACTTTTAGAAGACATCTGAAGGCAGCCCTGTATTAATGTTTGATATTTTACTATGTCTTTATATGTTTTGTAGGCTGCCTAGAGTGGTTGGGGATACCCAGCCAGATGGGCAGGGTATAAATAACATCATCATCATCATCATCATCATCATCATCATTATTATTCAGGTTCAGAGTAAAATATATTCATTAAGGAGGTTTTGGAGAGTATTATTTACAGAACTGCCCATAAGCCTCATTCTAGGTGAAACCTGCTCATGGTGTGATATCATCTTCCATGGGATCTTGTGAGAGGGAGGAGAGGCTGAGGCCTTTAAAAAGTCCTCCCCCATGAGATTTTGGGACCATTTTGTCCAGCTAGCTTCCCAACTATCCTCAGTGCTAGACCATCTGAGGTACTTGAGTCACTATTACTGAGGCACTTGAGTCACTAGTTAACAGGGGTGGAAATGATTTTCTTCCCACCAACCTCAATTGGCCTCCATTCCTTCAGTGAGATAAGGGTTATATATCTTAGGTGTTGGGAAAATTTTGTACTTCGTGGGCAGCAATGGCGTTGGGTTTGATCAGCTTAGTACTGATGGGAGGATTGGCAAGGCATTC